ATGTTCGTTTTTAGATTTTTTATCTGGTGAAGAGTCTAAATAATTAACGCGAATAATTTTTCCCGGATTTTTTCAAGAGGACTTTTAGGAGTTTGGATTCGTAGATGTTTTTTCAAAATATTTGAATCGTAGGGACCTTTAATTTGTCCCAGGATGTTGGTATTCTCCATTGGTAATCCATTTGGAAAATCTTCGTAAATTAGAACGTTATCCTTAATTATTCCAGGTAGAGTATTCTCGTCTTCATGCTTTGTACCAGAGCTCATGATACTACCCGCTTAGATTTATCCACCCAAGTTTTCAACTTACGTCCTTCTAGTCATAGTGTTACTGATTCGCTTAAAAGTCGTTGGTGTGTGGTTAAACATTGTCTTTTTGAGTTCGCTATAATTCATCCCTCACCTAATACGTACGTCATATAAACAGTTGAGTTTACGTTTTAGTTAATGTGAGGTTTAATCAGTTGGTATTTTATCATAGCTTCAGATCTACAACCTTTTTCTCTTAAGTGTCCATCCTCAAACGCATACGATTGCAAATGCATAGCCATTGGTTCTCGCTCTCAATCAGCTCGTACTTACTTGGAACGACATTTAGATGAATTTAAAGGTTCATCTTTGGACGATTTAATTTGTCATGGATTGAAGGCTTTAAACAGTACGTTGCCAAATGAAGTTAGTTTGAATATGAAGGTGAGTTTATTTTCATCAAAACTGATCCCATGAATGTTTTCTGATATCAAACTCAGCCCAGTCTTCCTGATTTTCGGGAATTAGCTAGTATATTGATTCCTACAAAGTATGATTTATACCCAAGCGCCCAGTAAATGAGTCTATCTACTTATATTTATCAAGTTTGGATACATTTGAGGAAGACATGTGTGCTATTAAATCCAAGAGTCAGGTCACTGAAGATTTTTATGACGTTCATCGCCAAGTTTACTAGTATATTGACCATTAAAAAAAAGCAAAATGGTACACTTTATAGTTTATTTTATTGTATATTTATTTGAACACATAAATATTGGTACAAGAGGGCACCATATATATATGCGTCACACAAAGCAATGAAAATGGGAAGAGAAAAAAAAGAACGATAACGACTAAATTAGTGTAAGGTAGTTTAATGATAATAATGGGTAGACGGAATGTTACAATCAGAAGAAATCTTTCAGTTAAGGAAGATACAACCACTTTTTATGAAGAAAGTAAACGAAGGTTACAGCATGATCGCCACTGACTTCTATTCTGAGCCATATCTGATAACGTTTCTAGCCACTGTGTAGCACCATCTCTCGGACCCCAGCCAAGGAGTCGTGAAAAACTAACAGAAGCCAGCCCTTTTCAGATTTCTTTCACATCCCGACACCACGTCATACACTGACCAATCGTTGGTCACCGGCTGCCATGGGACTGCATTTCCTCACGATGCTCCACTGCCTTGTGGGTCAGGCCTTTAGGTCAAAGGCTCGGGGTGTGGCCTCCTAAGGAAACCGCCTGTTTCGGTCTGGGCACCCAGGCAGTATCACAGCACGCACACAAATAAAATGAAAATGACACTTTATAGTCTCATTACATGATTCATCGGCTTGAAGCTAGTCGAAGTCTAGTTAGACATTGTTTTCCACTAATTCCTAGGTCAATGGTTGCGGTCCGCGTGACTATCGTAACCAATGGTTGGAAACTCTTGGTGACGTGGCTCAGAATCGATCACAATCGCGTCTTCCCTTAGTGTCTTCCCTCAAACTAAAAGATTAAAATCACTTCATTCTTCCTTCCTGCACCATATCCTTATCGCAATCTTCCCTTTATATATTACCACCTCTGAATTAACTACTTTTATGAATCCGGTGTCCATCTTGTTGTGTTAATGAGGTTTGGCAACTTGGACCGATGCATATATATGCATGGTCCTACGTTGTAGCTGACTGACTGACTGACAATGGTAGTATGTAAACAATTGTTGGAGCAATGATTTATAGTAATATTCTAGTATGTTGTAAAGGTTTTCCATCTACATGAAATAATATCGTCCAACATATTTCACCACTGTATGAATTGATTTGTTTGACGCTTCCCAGATTTTGTGTACTGTCGAACAGGAGTAAAATTGACGATCTTCAATACCAGATACGTCTTTCACTCCTAACCCCAGCTATTCAAAAAAATCTTTTAAGAGAAGCATAATAAAGTTGATTTACATCCAAGTTAGTTCAATTACATATCGATCAAATGTCTGATTACCGACTACAAATTTACCGTCTGAGCAATCATCTCTTGAGCATAAAATCAGTGAATTTATGTATACAATAAAAAAGTACTAAAAATCAAATAGCTAATTTCAGACCGAATGAATTAATACATAAAGTTCCACTGAAAATATAATACTGTACTACGCAAATGTAAAGACTGGTTTTACCATAAAGCGTTATATTTGGAGGTTTAACATTTTCATCACTGACATCGATCATTATATGAAACCTTGATATGTTTTCATTTTAACACGCACTTAATTTATCACGTTATTCACTGCCTGGTTTGTATTCCTAGGATTGCTAACACATTTGTACCTGGCTCTACGTTGACCATGATTGATTGCGTGGCTTCTAGGCCTTCATCAGTCAGCCATTCATTTCCGATTCCACTAAATTATCTCTTAAATACTTACGCGCTGCTTAAATTCCTAAATTATTTATTGTTCAGATATACCTATAGTCCAAATACAAAATTCCTCACTGCTGATGTTTTTAGTAAACACTTTGTAGCCCGCTGATCTGACTTCGACCTAGATGGATGTATGAATATACTATGAACATAAATCTCCCATTTAGTTCTGTTTATTACCTAGGCTAACCCCGTTTGTGTGACGGTGGTAATAAGAAGCCAAATACGGGTTGCGCTGGAGGGATTTATTTTAAGCATTCGTCTATCCAGACAGAAGCGAAGGCGAGTGAGCCAACTTGTTTTGATCAAGTGTGACTCGACATTTATAGTCAGACAAAAATAAGTTACTGATATGTGGTAAGTAGGATGAGTAATGTCCTCACATACGTCCATCTAATAACAGTCAAGGTTAATAAGCGAATAATTAACAAGGTCAGAATGTAAGTCAAGAAGAATGAATAGATTGGTTTGTCCGAAAGCTAGAATAACTCATATGGGCTTGAAATGGTACTAGACACTACACAGAGATAGATTTGCTGAATATACTTCTACCTAAGTCACTCACGTTCAAACACTAAGTGACTTAAAACGATTCGCGAACACTACTACACTGAAGGACTTCAGCGTTTATAACTGATATCTAATCTTTAGTATATGTCCACATACAGGATTGTAAATGAACCCTAAAGTGCCACTACGAACACCATCAAGGTAGGAGGTTGATATGGCTTGTGAATCCAGACAAATGATATTAAGATACTGTGTCTCAACTAACCGCATATGATTATGCAATTTCTTCCACTGTTGTTATGAGATGAATTCAAATAATCATTTAATACCAATGTCAGATTTTCTTTGTGCATCGCCTCTTCTACGTTCTTTACTGTCTAGCGCCCCTTAACCAGTTCATTTCACTGTACATAATATGGTTACGAACGAGAATGAGTTTAGAACAAAATCAATTCCAAATGAAACCGAAACAAAATATGCAGAGAAAAAAAGCATAAGAGTTTGTGTAAAATTAAAGATGCTTCAAGTACTTGGTCTTTTCAACCAGGGTTGACTAGTTAGCAATGCATCAGGATATTTAAACTTGGGTCTCATTGAGCGTGCAGGCTAAAATGTAATGAGTCAGTCCTACCAATACAACTATTAAGATAGTAGTCGATTTCCTCTAATCTGTTAGTAAATATTTTTCACTCACAAAATAATTGTATTGACAAAATATAAACATTCTCTATAATATTTTGACTGATACTTTAACTCTTCTACATAATTATATGTGAGTCCCGAAACTCGAATATCATTTACGTTGGAGTAGTTAAAATCATTCAATCTCCCATATATCCAAAATTGATGGTTTTATTCTACTACTGTAATTAACACATGATGGAAACTTGTAACTCAATGATTGAAAGTCTAATGGTTTTATGAACTGTCTTAATTTCAGTAGCATTACATTTAGTGATTTTATATACTACAGTAAAAATATGAATTTTCATATCTTATTTGATGTTTTAGAATTGTTCACTTGCTATAGTTGGAAAAGACATGAAATTCACAATATTTGAAGATGACGATATTGATCCATATTTGAAGTTATTCGAAGCTACCCAAGCGGATGCACCAACTATCTCCGATTCCGGTCCTACTCCAATGGAACAGGATCAGTCTGCGTTGTAACCGGCTATCTATGTATATGGAATTGTTTATGTACTGATGATCTAACGACTATGCTGAGTCCTAACTTGTTTTTATTTTCGATTTGTAAAAATAAGAAGTTAATAAAGTTGAGTTATGAAATTCATATGTTTTCTTCCTAATATTTTCTTTTTATATAGAAAACAGTCTTGCCAAATATGTTTGATATTTTCTTAAACTTATGTAGAGAATTTTTGATATCTTGAAGTTTTAGCTTAAACATTGTGTTTATTAAACAGACTGTGATATTCAACTGGTTTGTGTTGAACTAGCTTAGTTTAAAGTTACTGGATAAAGATGACAAATCCAATAATAAGTTTTTAAACCTCTATCGACTGACATGACTGGAACTTATGTGTTCCTTGTACCCATCCACTAGCTAACTTAATGATTAATGATGGTTGATACAGGAGTTGGTTGATAAAAAGGTAGTGGCTTTTAAAGCAAAACAGTATCAGTCTACTACATTTTTGGCTGATCCGTTTTGATAGACACAGACGATCTGTATGTAGTCACCACAATAACCATGATGAAATTACTACAACATTAGAAGACATTTGGTCCAGGCGATCTACTTTCCGTTCTTTTCAAAGATGGGATAGTCTTTTGATCAGGGAACTAAGTCGATTGTCTAAAATGTCTATATTTAGAGTAAACCATCATACTTCACTGAAGTTTTTTCTTTCCTAGTTTCAAGCAGGGTTTGCGTAATACACCTAATTAGTGATAATTGCTGACTTTGTTTTATAAAACAATGAATCGACCTGCAAGAACTCATATTGCGAATACGTTAGTGATCTTCCCACTCCCTCAGGTTTCGATCCTCAAATTTTCTAATTCTCATCAAATAGACAGCTTTTAATCTATTAAATAGTACCATTCTCTGGAATCGCTTGTCGAAGAGAAAACACCCTAGGAATTTCTCTACGAATGACAGGAGTGTGCAATCAATCTTACATTGCTTCCAAATAATGGATGTGTTTGGATTGTTCAGTGTTGTCATTCCTATCTAGTTCTCTCGTCTATAACTTCCTCAAAACAACTGAGAAAGCTGTACAGTGGTTTGAATCTGTTGTTTAATGGAAAATCTTCAACCTTGAAAATACGGTTGTAATTGTTTCACTATGCGATCCCATATAAGCTAATTACTACACACTTAATTATTCAGCAACCATTGCTTGTAGGTACCGTATGTAAGTTTTACCATCAATACGTGAAATAATTTTAAAAAACCTACAGAGGCCTATGTCTTCGCTTACTTTTTGTAACGAGTTGTTTGGAATAGTCAAGGAGTTCATGCTAGTGTGATATTGCTTGGGGTAGTAAAGGCAGAAGAGATGTAGAGAAGTCTCATTCACCTTCGAATTCATCATTATGTGAATCGGAAAGTTTTGGTTCAAATGCACAGACATATCAAAAACTGCCTCAAGTTATAAATATAGACTGCTAGATGTCACCTCAGTGATTTAAATGTTAAACGCTTGTCTGAAGGTCTCAAGTTCGATCCCTGGTGCGATCGTGAATATTCACTGATGTAGAATCCCTTACTAGCACTTAGCATTTGTTTAGTTCTTCCTGAGTCAGTTTGTGATTCGTTTTTTTTCAAATTCAACAGCCTCTAAAATACCTCATGATCACAATCGTTTTACTAATACTAATGTATTGTAGTCAATAATACACATTTAAAGCGTAAGATAAATGTTTTCACTATTGCACCTCCATCGAGAGTTATATTTACACTGACTTAGTGAAAACATGGGGGAGAAGTAAAAGTTTTATACTGTAAAAACCGAGTCGTTTTTTGTCTACATACTTGTGCTACACAATCAGTGTAAATTTAAGATTTCTCAAAGTCCGAACTCTGTAACTCCGTATAGGTCCGTCTACTAGCTAGTGATTATTAGGTGTACTACCGAGCTGACGATGAAGTGGTCATGTGTCCTCTAGATCATTATATGCCCATTCTCAGATACTATGCATTGAAGCAAAGTAATATTCTTAACTTGAATATTTACTCGGCTTGTGTCAGTTCGTTGTAAAATGTTAAATAATACTCTATAATTCAGTTTTACAAGCCTCCCTTACAGTCCCCATGCAGCTATTGTACTTATTCTGGAGACAATTCTCCACATTTGTGCTTGTTCAGTGTAGTTTCTTCGGCAAAATGTATTCATTCTAAAGGTTAAGAGTTTCTGTAGTCAGTCTTTATATTCAGTATACTGTTATGTAACCCGTGATCAGTCAGTCAGTAACAACGTAGAACTTCGTACGTACGTACATCAGTTCGAGTTGCCACACCACATTAGCACAGAGATGCAGTTGTCGATTCAAATCCCGTAGTGGTAGAGGTAATAAGAGTATAAGCAGTCATCGGGAAGATTACTGCCCGTGATCATTTCATAATTAAACTGATTATTTGACTGAGTTATGTAGGCAGCTGCAGGCTACCTGGTTAGAGTCTGTGTGATTATCGTAACCAATAGTTAAAGACTGTATGTCATGATTCGGAATTTTCCCGATAGCACAGATGCATTCAATAGTTATATTCCCTCAAATTCCAAGATTTTGAATAACCTTATGATTGTTTTTTTTAAGTACCATGAATCCATATTTTATCTAATCGTATCTTAGATACCCAGTCTTTTCAATTACCATTAATGTTGTTACTACCTCTTCTTCCCTGGGATTTGTCTCTATAATTCCATCTCTCTGTGCAGATAGACTGTCGGCTTTTAGCGATATACACATGTTCCAGGTTCTGTGTTGTATATGACTGATTGTATAAGCTGGCAATGAAGTAACTATCTACTGTAAAGACAATTTATTTGATTTAGTGAACAATTTTTACTTGAAATTTTAATTTTAATACCACAGTAGCTAACTTCTCATTTCCTGTTTTTTCTCTACGTTTTCAGGCCTATGTAACTAGTACTCAATTTTGTAATTGGCATTTTTCTCCTTCAGAATTAGTTAATCTTCGTTCAGATTGTAATACAACTGCTCTTAAACGATTACAATCAATTAAAGAAGTAGAAATTAAAAATACCAATGAAAATGTAAACAATACATTAACTGTTGTTGGATTAGATCCTGATCAAGAATTTAAAATTATTAAACATTATGTATATTTAATGAAAATTTTATTTGATAAATTTACAACACCTCAGTTACCAAATGAAGTAAGTTTTTGAACTGATAATCATATTTATTCAGTCTTTAATTTTTTTATTTTTAAAGTTCAAGTGTAATTATTTTCATTGATATTATTATCGGACTGGAAAGAAGGACACCTCATCAAGATTATAAAGAAAAGAGATCTGAACAAATGTGAAAACTACAGAGGTATCACACTAATTTCAGTACCAGAGTGCTACTGAACCAGATAAAAGACGCATTAGACACCCAACTTCGAGATCAACAGGCTAGATTCCGCAAGGATCGATCGTGCACAGACCAAATTGTCACACTACGAATCATTGTTAAATGAAACTCGTCACTATACATCAACTTCATTGACTATGATAAGTCGTTTGACAGTGTAGATAGGAGAACTCTATGGAGTTCCTGAGAAGATTGTCAGCATTATCCGGAACTCATACGACGGACTGCAGTGCAAAGTCGTACACGAAGGATAGCTGACAGGTGCATTCCAAGCAAGAAGTCAGATAAGGCTGTATACTCTCCCCCTTCCGTTTTTACTGGCGGTTGACTATATTATGAATACCTCGACATACAATGGACATCTCAGAACCAATTAGACGATTTGGACTTCGCAGATGACATAGCCCTCCTATCTCATACACACGAACAAATGCAGATGAAGGTAGCTAATGTAGCAGTAGGCCTCAACATGCACAAACGAAAAAGCAAGATCCTCAAATGCAACGCGAAGAACACCGACCCGATCACACTTGGTGGAGAAACTCTGGAAGATGTAGAATCCTTCATGTACCTGGGAAGCATCATCGATGAATAAGGAGGTTTAGATGCAGACGTAAATGCGAGAATTGGCAAAGCAAGGGCCGCATCTCTTTAATTGAATAACATATAGAACTCAAAACAACTTTCAACCAATATCAAAGTCATAATCTCCAATACGAATGCCAAGACAGTTCTACTATACGGAGCCGAAACTTGCAGAACTATTACAACCATAATCAAAATATTGCAAGTATTTATAAACAACTATATACGCAAGATATTCAATGTTTGTTGGTCGGATATCATCAGTAATATTCTACTGTGGGAGAGAACAAACCAGCTTCCAGCTGAAGAACAAATTAGGGAAAGACGATGGAAATGAATAGGATATATATCACGGAAATCATCAAACTGCGTCGCGAGGCAAGCCCTGACTTGAAATCCTGAAGGGAAGTGGAAAAGAGGGAGGTCAAAGAACACATTACATCGGGAAATAAGAGCAGATATGAAAAGGATGAGTAACAACTGGAAAGAGATAGAAAGAATTGCCCAGGACAGGGTTGGATGGAAAGTGTTTGTGGGTGGCCTATGCTCCTCCATGAGGAGTAACAGGTGTAAGTAAGCAAGTATTGTTATTGTCATAAGAGTGTAGATAACTTCATATCATTCTGTTTGTACTCGATCAAGTAACTAAATATGTTTCATTTTTGATAAGTTAATATTCTTCGTTTACATTTAGACTGATAAATAATATTGTATGAGTATTGGTTATCATTATTTATCTGAACTATACATTTCATAAGGTGTAAACTTTCTATTTGTTTGTTCAGCACTAGGTAAGGAAAATTGTTAATTAGTAAAAGTAGCCATACATGAACCCATTCAAATCTATCTGTCTTCATCAGTGAAAGGTCAGTAAACTTGGTAAATTTGTTAATTGGGTTGTGAACTTATATCGACTAAAGTAGTTGAAACGTGCACTAGTCATTTTCAGCCACTGTCTATCCTGATCTGCTTTACTGGTTTGTATAAAGTAAATTGTTTAAACGTTAGCGATGACCAAAACATGAGTAGATATCAGTTGATAAAATCATTGGCTGTTAATTTAGGCCGTTGGATTTGTCCTAACAATTTCATGTTTCTGTGCTAATGGGGTGTGGCAAATTGAACCGATCTACATACGTATCAGGTTCTACTTTACGTTTAACTGAGTGATCCGAACTCAGTAACTCTGTGGGTAACAAAATGTTTAAATCAGGTGTATGTTCTAGTCCAACTGTGAGTATACATGAGTATTGTAATGCAAATACATCCATCTAACGAGTTTCAAATAGGATGTAACATGCGTTCTATATTCTACAATCCATTTGTTTTAAATAACTTTTGAAAATGGTTATGTAGATGTTACCTGCACAGAACAGACACATGCCAATAATGATTGACAAATGTCTACTCACTAATTTCAACGATGAAGTAACTCAAATCCCTCGCACTAACGATATAACTTGTTCCAATTTTGTCTAACTAGTGAGATTTTCTGCAAAAAGTAACGTTCAGATGCATAATCTGTCCAGTAAATGTTTGAACTGTGGTTGCTGAAACTTCGTTCTATAGTTCAGCACACGTCAATTTTACTGCCTATTATAACTATATAACTGTCCTGTCTCCATTTCTGTTGTTTGAAATACTCTTGGAAGTCGTCAAAAGTCAGATTTTACAGCTACCTCACCGTCGTCATGTATTTTGCGAAAATCATTTCTCTCAAATTCAATTTATTAGCTGTCAGAAATTGTGGAAGACCACATACTTTCGATGTTTTCAAAACAGAAAGTTGATGATTCTCGTACTCCTAAATTTATTTATTTATTTATTTGAACACACATATATTGGTACAGGAGTGCACCAAATATATATGCGCCACACAAAACAATGAGAATTTGAGAAGAAAAAGAAAAAAAGGTGGGGAACGTAAAAAAAACATAAAAAAACAATAACGAAGAGATTGGTGTAAAGTAGTGTAATAATAATAGTAATAGTAGGGGAACAGAAGGGTACAATCAGAAGAAATCTTTCAGTTAAGGAAGATACAACCACATTTTATGAAGAAAGTATAAGAAGGTTACAGCATGATCGCCACTGACTTCTATTCTGAGCCATATCTGATAACGTCTCTAGCCACCGTGTAGCACGATCTCTCAGACCCCAACCAGGGAGTCGTGAAGGACCAACACAAGCCAGTCATTTGCAGCTTTCTTCCATGCCACGACACCATGTCATGCACTGACCACCTCTCCGCTTCTTCCAACCAGTCCCAGAGTCGGCAAATAATGCACGACGTGGAATTCTCTGGGACGACATTCGGAGAACATGTCCAAGCCACCGAAGTCGGTGTTTCAAGATGGTGACACAAATTGAGTTATCATCTCTGTGCCCGAACACACGATGCCGAACCTCTGCATCACTGACATGGTGTTGCCACTGGATGTCAGCAATCCTTCGGAGACAGCGATGGTCGAACACAGAGAGTTGTCTAACGTCCTCAACTCGGAAAGGCCAGGTTTCACAAGCATAGAGCAAAACTACTCTCACCGACGCGTTGTAAATCCGACCTTTTACAACCAGACTAACATCACGAAAGCGCCAAAGATGGCCCAGATTGGCATAAGCCGCTCTGGCTTTCGCTATACGTGCATTGACCTCATCACTCACACCCCCACCAGCACTTATGCAGCTACCCAGATACACGAACTTCTCGACTACGTCTATCTGCTCACCCTCCAGGGTGAGTACAGGATTGGAATCCTGCCAGTCTTGTAGAAGTACTTTGAACTTCGAAGGTGCAAAGCACATACCATACCTACGGGCACCGATCGCCAACTGATTAAGTGCGGATTGCATGGCTTGGGCATTATCGCACAATAAGACAATATCGTCCGCATACTCAAGGTCGAGAAGTCTTTCTCCAGGCAACAGATCCACACCACCATTACTTACATTCATCAGAGCTGTTTCCGGAATGTCATCGATGGCAAAGTTGAAGAGGAATGGTGAGATTGGGCAACCCTGTCTAACCCTACTGCTCGAATGGAACAATGGAGAGAGGTGGTTGTATGCCCTCACTCTGCCTGAGGTGTTTGTATATAGGGCTTTTGAGATGTTAATAAACTTCTCAGGCACACACTTCTTCAATAGACAATCCCAGAGAACAGTCCTGTCCAACGAATCGAAGGCAGCCCTGATGTCAAGAAACACTACGATTGTTGGCCTTTGATAAGTATGGCGGTGTTCTAAAATTTGGCGGAGGGTGAAGATATGATCAATACATCCTCGACCAGAACGAAACCCAGCCTGCTCCTCGCGAGTCAATCTTTCTCGGGTTTTGAACAATCTACGAAGTATGACGGAAGCCAATAGCTTGGACGTAATCGGAAGTAGACTTATCCCCCGATAGTTGTTACAGGAACGACGTGAACCCTTTTTAAAGATAGGGACAACTATCGACTCATTCCATGACGTTGGTACACTCTCTAGCTCCCACACCTTTGTAAACAACGTCGTCAATTCCTTAGTCAGAAAGTCACCACCATCTTTAAAAAGAGCCGGAGGTAAGTCATCTGGGCCAGGTGATTTGTAACGCTTCAAGAGTTGGAGTTCCTTGCGGACTTCCTCCTCGTTTGGTGGATCAGTCGTCACCGGCCATGGAGGGCAGGACAGTCCGACCGATGTTGCCGGAGCAGCAGGTCAGTTGAACTGCCCTTCGAAAAGTTCTGCCCATCGTCTAAGACGTCAATGGATGTTAGTGATTGGCATCCCATCATCCTCGCAGATTGTTTCGCTCACATCAGACTTCTTGCTGCCAGTGGCTCGGATGAGTTGTAAGAGCTTCCGGTAATTACCAGATGCAGCTGCTGCTTCCAGCTCATTAGCACGCTCCGACCACCAGGCTTCTCGCTCCTTACGCAAGCTTTGCCCAATTTCATTACGTAACAACCTTCGTTTGTGGTCAAACTCACGGTCACCCGGAGTAGATCGACGGGCTTCAATGAGCTGTAAGGAACCAGAAGAAACCCAGTGCTTAAAAGCGGGACGTTTCGCAAACCCACAACTGACTGTACCCGCCATTTTTATGGCGTCATGCAATTGCAACCAATGCTCATCCATACTTTTCGGTGGAGTGGTAGCTAGCCTAGAGGCTAGCTCGGTTCGATACTTACTTGCAACAGAAGTTGCAACCAGCTTGCTAACATCAATCCGTTGATGGCGTTCACTTCGTTGTCCACTGAAAAGTAAGGCAAGATTGGCTCAGACCAAGGCATGATCAGAGTCCAGATAGGTACTCCAAAAGGAGCGGCAGTCTTGTACACAACCACGCCAGCGGTAGCTGATCGCGATGTGATCAATCTGAGTTCAGGCTTGAGATGCAGAGGGAGGACGCCAGGTGGCACATCGGCGATGACTGTGCCGAAAGTTAGTGCTAGCCAGAAACAGGTTGTGGTCTGTGCAAAGTTGCAGTAGACGGTCCCCGTTATCTGTCCTGCGACTAACAAGTCCCCATCGGCCACCTAAACGACCCTCTTCTGTGCCTAGTCGCCCGACCTGAGCATTCAAGTCTCCGGCTAGTACTACAATATCTGTCGAACGCACTTTCTGGAGAAGAACAGATAACTGGTGGTAAAACTCATCCTTGATTGCATCCGGGCTGCAATCTGTCGAGGCATAGGCGGAGATGACGAAGAGACATCGTTTCTCACGCCGATTTCTTCTCACTTTGATGGAACTTTCTAATCTAGCAGCACATAACCGACTGTTAATGGGGATCCAGTCGATTAGTGCTGCCTCAGCTCTAGCGCTTAGTGCGACACCAACGCCAGCAAGACCAGACGAAGAAGCCACAGGGTCTCCGGATAAGCGCACGTAAAACAAGCTTTTTGAAGCGACAGATGGAGATCGAATTTGTAGTACTTCGCCAGAGTCTTGAATACGGGTCTCGGATAGACAACAAACATCAATATTAAGACTTTCTAAAGACATAGCCAGCCCTATCTGTTGTCCGACCTGCATAAATGTGCGAACGTCAAAGGCAGCCAGTTTGAATAGTGCACGTGGTTTCAGAAAAACTGCTTCGGTACTCATATTCGATGGTAACATACAATTTTCAACCGAACAGTGACTCGAGAACGTTTAGATATAGTCGAATTTCCACCATAGACGAGCTGCTGTATAAGTCGAACAAAAAATAAGTATAGACAGAGTAGTAATAAAGGAGGGTGAATAGTGACGTAGTAAATCATAATAATAATAATAGCAATAATAATAATTGAATCATTTGAATGTTCGTCGAAGCAAGATAATTAGTTTCCATGATCATAGACAGTTCAGTTCATTAATTGCGTGTGGGCTGCGATACTGCTCGGGTGCCCAGATCGAATCAGGTGGTTATCTTAGGGGGCCACACCCCGAGCCTTTGACCTGAAGGTCTAACCCACAAGGCAGTGGAGCATCGTGAGGAGATGCCGCCCCATGGTAGCCGGTGACCGAAAATTGGTTCATACGCCATTTGTTCCCGCAGAATACTGGTGCCCATGTGCACCATTGGTTTGGAATCCGGTTAAAGCGCCGGACATTCGCTTTTCGTCCTCTCATTTTCGTAAACAACACCCCCGCCACGAGAAGGCAGTGAGTAGGACTTCCCTGGCAGAGGCTGTATACGCGTGGCCGTGTGATAGTATTTCGAGAGGGAGGGCGAATCCACCCCGCTCTCGGCCATACCAGGGCATTTGGGGGCAATAAACGATTTCACAAGTTGAAATCTATGGAAAGTCTGGATGCACTGGACGGCCGTTTCGTCCTGGTATGGGACTCCTCAGCAGTGCACATCCACGACCCCGCACCTCGCGGGATTCGAACCCGGGGCCTACTGGTCTCGCGCGTGAGCACTTAACCACTCCTAAACCATCCTTGTGATTTTCTCAATTCTTACTGAAATCCCGATCTGACTTTTCCTATTTATTTTAAAAAAAAACTGTGCTGTAAATGCATCCACTTTTATATCTCCTTCCTGATCTCGAATTTCAGTGTTCCCCTGTACACTATTTTCCACCCTTTCTTTTCAAATCGTGTTCTCAATCTCCAGTCACTTTTATTGTCGCTGCTACCATATTATTTCGATTTCTTGCTATGCATACTGTTAATCTCATATTACGCATATGTGATATTACAATTCGGATCAACGTGCATCTGTTCCAGGTTCTACTTTAACACTGGCTGACGTTTTGAGCAGGTAGATGCAGTTATCTTTTTGAGTAGTAATCTAATGAATAAATCACATAGATTTCAGTCATTCGGTTACATATTTGAACCTCTCTTCACTTCGGTTTGAGTAGTTGAGTATTATCAATAACTTGAACACAGTATGTATGTGACTAGAACATCACATTCATAGACTTCTTGATTATTGAGCATTATAATTTTGACCTTAACTAATATACACAGAGCTGATAGTTCTTTAATCGAATTAGTTAATAGCTTTCATCATTTTTTTCGTTATTTCAGGTATATGGTTTTGCTGCAACCTATTTTAAACGTTTTTATCTTAATCATTCTGTAATGGACTTTTATCCACGTGATATAATGTTAACATGCTTGTACGTTGCTTGTAAAGCTGCAGATTTCCCAATTGGTCTTCAGACTTTCATTTCGCATATCCCTAGAAATCAAGAGCGATACAGTTATCTGGTTCTCAATTCTGAACTTTTTTTGATGGAATCACTGGGTTATGATCTGTGGGTGTATACACCGTATCAAGCGTTAACTGGATTTGTTATCGACTTAGTAGCATATCAGGTGGGAAATTTTTATTATTTTATATATTTAATCGCTTTAATGTCTTATCAAGTGATTTCCTACGGTTATAGAGTAGTTTCCATCCTGATCCAATAAAGAATTATTGAAAGCTAATGCGCATTCGATAGCAGTTTTGCCTTATTTTCAAACCCCTCGGGAGCACTTATATTCGGGTGGTCGGAGGGTTAGTGGGAATAAGTCTTGATAACTTGGTGTTAGTGGTAGAAAGGGTTTGTTTTGGTATGTCAGTCAAATGTATTTTGTAAACGCTGATAGGAATAAAATGAATAGAGCTCAGTTAATAAAACATGGTTACTAATCTGGAAGATAGTTGAAATAAAACGCAATGATGTAATAAATACAAGAAAGAGTTTAAAGAAGAAGATGCAACGAAGGAATATTTGTCATCAAGGAAAGGAAAGGCAAGATTAATAACCATCTCATTTTGAACATACAAGTCACGATTTTGACGCCTGATAGCAACGACTTGAGCAAACTTCAGAAGACTGGAGGTTAGTTGTTTACTAATCACCTTAAAATATTGCAATGTATCGACCTTATGCCCTATGTCAAGGAGATGTTTGGTAATTTCACTGTTTAGAGTCTTTCTTTCACTTGTCCTGAGGCTTTCCGGCACATGTTCCGGCAGCCAAACTATTAATTCTGTATAAACCAGCATGTTAAATAACTCAATCAAAGGTTGACAAGCACCCCTTTAGTGTTACCACCAACTGGATTTGTAAATTTACGTTCACCTGCTAAAGCAGCTACATTGGCCAAACAGAAAGAACGGCATATCTTAGATTTGTTGAACATGCTCCAGAAAGCCTCAAAACAAATGAAAGACTCTAAACAGTGCGATTACCAAACATCTTCTTGGTACAAGGCATAACGTCGATACTTTGCAATATTTTAAGGTGATTAGTAAACAACTAACCTCCAGTCTTCTGAAGTTTGCTCAAGTCGTTGCTATCAGGCGTCAAAATCGTGACTTGTATGTTCAAAATGAGATGGTTATTAATCTTGCCTTCCCTTTCCTTGGTGACAAATATTCCTTCGTTGCATCTTCTTCTTTAAACTCTTTCTTGTATTTATTACATCATTGCGTTTTATTTCAACTATCTTCCAGATTAGTAACCATGTTTTATTAACTGAGCTCTACTCACTATATTCCTACCAGTATTTCACAATTGATTGATCAGTGGGTGGCGATCAATGTCGTGCGTGTCTAGTCCGTATTAGAGCAGATCGAATGCTATCGACTGTGAAGCTAGGTGACACGAGATCGAATCCGCCAGAGAGCACCAGTCCCCTCAAGATTACAGGTAAACCTTACTGAAGAGTGCCAAGTAGCACGAAACCCAGGTCCAGGGTTTCCTGTCAACTACCTCCAACCACCATCTATCAATATTTATTCATTATATAATCACTTGTTTCTAGCCGTTTGAACTGTTGTCACAATCAATGTTGTAGAATGTTCTTTCATCACATAAGGTATATATTTACAATATTCAGTCTATTAAATTTATTTGCACCCTTGCTATACTATACTAATGTGTCACCAATATCACTTCCAACCAAACCCTTTCATGTAATTAATTTAAACCCATTATGTAACTATGATTCTTAAATATCACAGGTTGTAAGCAGTTGACGAGAACTAAACGAAATAAAATGAATTCATGCTATTCTGTTAGAATCTTTGTTCTTGCTCTTTTCGAATTGATATAGGGAACTATGAGAATGAAATAATAGTTCTCCCTGCATTACTCTGGCTATGAAACATTGCATGTATGATAGTAAAAAATATGCATAAGTTGAGTGGCTTATATCATAGCTTTATGTGAAGCACTGCCCGCGTATCAACGACTGAGTGTGTAACCAGTGCTAAGGTAAGGTACATGGAACTAAACAAAATAGTAGTTCGTAAAATGAACTGGTAAATCTCCATCGACTAATGTGTCCAGGATACGTCTTACATAAACCAACTTACCCTCTGCCTCTATGTGTAGTGCTTACTGATGCAGGAGGTTGTAATACTTCAAAAACTTGTTCTCCGTTTGGCTAAAAGTTGAGTAAACAAAATTACCTTAGTTTTTCTTTCATTTCATGTTAACTGTTTTTTGTTATTCATTTCTGGCTACTTTTTGTTGATATATGTAAGCTATCTATTCAGATATGCATGTTGCTAGGTCATCATTTTGACTGGCCAATTTTCTCCTTTTATCTATTTAGAGACGAATTTGTGGTGCACGTTCTGATTCCTATCTTTTAGAGAATCGATCCGATGCTCAGCTCGTTGATGAGTTATGTAAGGACGGTGTAAATTTAATAAATTTATGGTATCAAACTGACTTGTGCCTCACAGCTCATCCAAGTCAGTTCGCTCTTGCTGTCCTAGTGGAACTTGGACATACTCGGCCTCAGTTGGATGTAGAAGTTTTCGTCAGAGATGAACTATGTGGTTGTGACCCAGTACAAAAGTTTAAACAGCATTCTGAAGAGGATGATGGTGACGAAGGAGACATAAAACCCAAGAAGGATACCAAATGTGACCCTGAAACTCGTTGGCAGGAACTGTCTAGTCGTTTAGATTTTATCCGTCAAACAATCGATGAATTTCAGTTTATTACTGACTTAGGACCTGTTGGTGAAGAAGAAGTAATTTTAGATGAATGTCGAAATCCCCTATATAATATTGAATCTGACGAGTATGCGCAAGCTAAGTCAAAAGCGGATAGCCTAATGGCTACGCTTGAATAATAGTAATAGTCGTACCTGTACTGTATATATACCATGTATAATTCACGTTTACTTTTCTGTTTTGGAAATTGTGTGTAATTACAGGTTTTATTCTCTAGTTTATCTTTTGTCCTGAATATCTATTTCTTATAAATTCTACCTCTCGTAAACTCAGTTTATTATTCCTTTTTCCTTTTGAGTAAAGCAGTGTCAGCTTTAGGGACCAACGAATTTTTGTTGGTCGCTTTCGTAACGTACTGTGCTCTTTGTTTCATGAAGTCCAATTTTGTGACAGTCGCTGGACGATAGCTATGTTTCCTGAAATTCGATAATAAACCACCGGCTAAAACGTACCCATAAGCACGTTGATAAGGACATCTGACATAACAGACAGGTCGGTCTTCCAATAACTGACAGATGAATGACGCTAGCCACTGTAGTTCTCTCCAAGACTTGGCAAAATCTAGCCTGTTCGTGGACGAACATATGTTGACAATCCGAATTTAAGTGTCTTTAGTCTCGATTTTCTGACCAAGAAGTTGGGAATTTCGTTAAAAGAAGTAACCAGCTACAAAATATCTTGATACATCACATTTTGTATGTGGTTTGATTTGCCTTTACTATTTTGTACTTAGGAACAATCCTCATAATCTTCTGATCAGTCATGACATTCTTCGTTTTCAGTATATCCCGTTGATATGCCGAATGGTTAGCAACCACTCAGCACTCATGTAGTAATTTGTCTTCAGTAGAGCCCCAGAAACAAGCTAATTATGAGTTTCGGTCTATGGTCTTAACTATCACAAAAGAAAGATTTGTGTGGCAAACGTGTTGAAAGATTAGCTTTACTTCTCAGACTGAACCGTACAGCTAAAAACTTTAAGAGGCCGAATGGGCTTGTTGCGGCTGTGCAGTGGATATTTTTGTTAAACAATGAAACATAGTTTCACTTGCTTCCCAAGTTTCCTCTCTAAAATACGGTAGTGTCTTCTGATATAGCGGCTGTCGTAAGTATTGGTCGACGAGTACTTGGTCATAGTCTTCGAATTTCGTCACCAAAAATCGTCGTCCAAGCACCTATCATTTTTGCCTACTGTAGGACCAGTATATCCATAGGCTTATGGTAGTGAGATCCGGAGCGAATGATTTAGCTACATTCAGCTCTAAATGACTTGAACCAATAGTAAGAGGGGTCTCGTGTGCCAAATATAGAAAGCTTTAGCAGGTTATGTGATGCCATTGAAGATCTTATTAAAACCGATGAATAGAATTATCACTGACTGACCAACCCCACTTTGCTGAGTAATTTGGTCAAAGGTCAAGTGCTGTGTGAAGCATGATCGTATAGTTATGGACTTGTGCCAAGGTGGGCTAGTTAAGCTTGCAGAAAGTGAAAATGGTAACAGCTATTTGTGGATGATTCTTGATAGCACAGATTTCAAGGTAATGACCCTATAGTTTGCGATATTTCTAGGTGGTCCTGTTTTGAATCTGGGGATGATAAGCTGTGTTTTCCATACAAACGGATAGACTTCATCGTCCATAGATTGGACAGTTCTAAACAAAATAATAGAAAATCTGTACTACCGTATTTCACGGATTATGCAGGGACCCCATCAGGTTCACCGTCATAGGATATTTTTAGGGCTGTTATGGCATTTTGATGTTGGTGAATATGAAATCAACAGTATATGGACGCTTAGATGTCATCGTTGGAGGCGTACTGATAAGAGTTTTGTGCTGTAGCATTGCGAGAAACGGCGGCTGAATTATTCACAAATAGTATCAGGGTCGTCAATAACTCTGCCGTTAACTACGAAGAATCTGGTCGTGACAAAGGAATTCGATTTCACGTGGGATTTGAAAAGCCGAAGTACTGATAGCTCCAAGGCTTTATCCTACATAGATATAAGATACTTGCATTGAGATTAATCATCTATGCCAGTCAAGTTAAGCATAATTTGTAGCCCATACACGTAATTGTGCATGTACTAGCTCTGCTTCAATTTCCTCAGCTTTCTCTTAAAAGTATGTTGGCCTCTGTTAGCATTATAAACCACATGGTCGACAACTGCCTGCCTTGGCACATTGTTGGAGCTTTAGAGTTCAATGATATAGTGTTTGGAGAATGAATATCACTCACCACGACTCTGTGATCACTCACAAAAAATCCATCAATGACGTGCACTGAGGTAGGGTTGATATTGATTGCAAACATTTGATCAAGTATATTATTCCTTATAGTCGGCTTTCGAACGTGTTGGACTCATCCACAAAGAACTACCATTTCAACTAACTTGATATATCGTACCCAGTACCTAGGTCGAATTCCATTTAATGTCCGGCAGATTAAAATCACCTCCGATGATTTTAAACGTATGCGGTTGGTGAGAAACAATTAAAAATATGTTTGTAGACAGTTTGTCAAAGTATCCACGTGGGGTGTGTAGAATCCAAAATAAGGTTTGGACTGGAAAATAACTGTCTAGGTAGTTTAAATACGCTCTATTGCTCAGTTGAAACCAAAACAAGGTGATTGGGTAAATGACGGCTCTAGATTTCGTCATAAGTAGAAATGTACATCATTACCTAAACAAATATTACCACTGAGTTACTCAACCAATAATTGTTCAATTAATCAAATCTAAATTACAGTAAATGAACAAGTTGATAAAGGATTTTACACACTTCCTTATGTAACTCTCAAGGGACTACTTTCAGACCATGTAAAGTGTACAAATTTTGAATGATGTGAAGGATGAAAATTTCATAAAATGTTTCGTCAGAACATCAAGAATTTCACTACAATACTACGTCATTCCAATCTAATGTGTATTCAAGTTTATGCTGGTAAAATCTTATTAAGGAGTTGCGAAGATGTGCACAAGTTTGGTAGATATTTGTCCTGTGGAAAATTTTATCCATGTAGTTCCTGTGTATTTCGTAATGATAAATGCTCTAAATGTGGTAAAATTGGATACATACAAGCAGTTTGTATTACTAATATTCATTTAGTTGCAGATAATCCTAAACTTTGTAATTTCGACCCTACTGAGTTGAATGTTTCAAAATTATCATATTCTGGTCAGATTCGTTGTGTTACTTTACCATGTATACGTTGTTCTCATGATTCATCTATTTCTAATGAAATTATTTCCAAATATGTGGTAGGTGTATCTAGTGCACCTAATCCTGATCAGAACTCTGATGTTACTTTATATGATGTTGTTATGACCTTGCGTCTCCCAATTATTTTGTTTTTGCCAAAATCCCCGTCGCCAATTGTTATGACCTTGGATGTCTTGTTTTGCTATCACGCGACCTATCGACCAATCCGGATACGACTTATACGGATCTTTACACTAGGCCAACCAATGACGTTCAACCGGTGCGGGCAGTCTAGCGTCCTTACTGGTCCTATGTCCTCCGAGCCCTTCCACTTGAGTCCAGAACACAATACCAGCTTCGAATCAGAGCAGATCGTTTATTTCAGGCATACTTGGTTTATATATCAATCACACAGACCGCAACGTACCATAAAATAGGAAATAATATTTGTACACAAATAAGCCCGAAAAGTGGCTGTGAATGTGGGAGGCAGTAGTTAATAAACTGAACATAACTTAAGAACCGTAAATCGTACAATAATAAGTTATAGGTCAAAATAAAGCTTATCATAAAAGGAATATAAATATACATAGTGTAATTGTTGAGTAGTTATACAATAAGAATATTTATAGAATATTAGTCCATGAATAGTCCTTGGAATTTACCTGTAATTAAATCTTCACCGGATATAACAGATGTGGTTTTTCCAAATAAAATATTGGTTAAATATGAGGGACAATTTCTAAATAAGTTAAACTCTGATTATAGTTCTGACGGTGTCTCATCAGATGTTATTTGTCCTCACAATAGACTTATCTATGATGATATTTCTAATGAATGTGACAAATATGTTCCGAATGAGTCGGCACGTGCCGGACCGATTGCGTAACACGCAATAGGGTTTCCATCCCGAAACAGTTAATGAGTGATACACCATTAGATACTGGTGGCCGAATTGCTACAGCAGCGACTGACGACCCAGACAAAACCATTATCGTCTCAAGTAGTTCCAATGTGGACGCTGCAACTGATGAGAAGTGGAAGAAGACAAGGAAACATTGTTAAAAATAGCGCTTGTTTGGGCGAGAAGTCCTTGGTGAACTTACATTTTGTGGTATGCAGTACGTATCTGCTCCACCGAGTTCTAATATCTGACGAGTTAACACTATCACAATCAGAGACTGTGCTGTCTCAATAGATTGGCCGGTCAGTACAAATGGATCAATTAAAGACGAATGGACTAAGTTGAAAACCACATTAAAATCCGTAACATCGTCGTACATGACATAGTCAACACGTAAGCATTCACATTGCCATCCATGGATTAACAAGGAAAGCCAAGAGAAAGACCATAGCTAGATGCCATACTATTTACGAAAGGTATTGTCATACGATAGCCGTGCTTGTCCGGAACGATTGTTGTCGTACGTTAAATGGAGATTGAAACGTAGTGATGGTATTAAAGAGAAAGTATTTGTAAAATCTCAGCGAAAGAATTTGAAGTAAATCCAATGTTTCTCCTGGCAATCTGATCCAAGCTTTCCAAGGAAAATATAATCAAACAACAAAATTTTACAAATACATTCTTCCTCTTTAATGTCTTACGTTAACTCGACGCTCAAGTATTGTTTAACTATTCGTTCGAATTTAGACGAAAGTTCTTATGAAATGATCGTATTCCCCCATTGCTGTTACATGGAAATTCAGATTTACCAGCTCAATCAAATCTGGCAAAAGCTGAGACTTTATCAACCTGTTTTTGCGAAGTCTACTCTACGTATACTGCTAAAAACATGTGTGCTAATCACACCGAATTACCAGCCATAGGATCCGTACATGTGACTGAGGAAACTGTTCTTCCGTTAACCACTTACCTCGAACGTTGTACGATACCGACCCTGATGGGTTACATCTGCGACTGCTATCATTTCTCACGGACATTATCTCAAAACGACTCGCAGTGCTCTTCAACAGGTCCCTTTCACTCGCTCAATTTCCTGTAAATTGGAAAGGTGCTATAGTCAA